TTCACCCCATAGGCCGTCTCAGACTCCGCTTCCTCCGCCACTCCCATTTTATTTGTACCTGCAACCGAAGACACCGCTGTGCCAATGACAGCTCTCCGACTTCCATGAAGTTCTCCTCCGGTTCAAAGTCTATGGATCTGTGGCTGCAGGTAATGGATTTTCTTCCACTTTTTTTTCCCCCTATCATAAATCCTGCTTGTATCATTTTTAAGTTGTATATTTGTATCTTAATACTTTTCTCTTTTTCCCTCCCCCACCCTTAATTTAAAAATGTGTCATCTGGGTTGCTTATTCAGTAATCTTCTCTTTTTTATTTATATCCCCTTTCTAACCAATCATAAAAAATTAGGGAAGCTCTTCTGTGGAATGAAACCAGGCCCATGGCAAGGAATCAAGGTTTAATGCAGTGTTTGTTAGACAAGAAATGCTGGTGGGACTCTTTCCAGAGACCCCTGAGAGAAACTCCTCTCTACAAAGGGAGGCATTGTTATTGGTTGCTCGCTGAAAGGCGAGAGAGACTGCATGAGAACAGATGGTGTAAAGCAAACATATTCATAGATAAAGGATCTGAAGTTATTACAGGTAATAGAGCCAAGGTTACTTTCTGCACGAAAACAGAAAGTTCTCCACCCGTTCAAAGTCTGCGGATCTGTGGCGACACAGTAATAAAAGTTTGTTTTGCATGGTAATAAAAGGCGCAATAGATGGAGAGAATTGGCATGTGCTTATCTTCCGTTCTTCTGAGACTAGTAGCTACAGTGTTCTAACCAGATCTTTGGGGGTGCGGTGCATGTCTGCTGCAGTAATCTAACCTGGAGGATCATGAGACTGGAGCTGGGACTCTCACTCAAGGACAGAGGGACCAGTGGTGGGTTCCAATTTTCTTACTACCAGTTCAGACGCGCTCCCGCACTCGCTCGTGCTCAACGCTCTTGCCACCGCTACTACTAGTTTGCCTGATCCGGGCTGAACTAGCAGCAACCCATCTCTGACTCAGTCCCTTGGAGAATTCCTAGTTATTTCTATTCATACGTAACAAAGAGACAATATTGGGAATGAAGATGTGACAACTGAAGAATAGCCTCTTAACAATGTCACTATTATTGTAATTCTCATTCTTAAATAACAATGAATCTACCAAATAATTGGTACATTCATTCAATATGCTATCCAATAGTCCATGATTTACAAATTATTCTGGCTGGATTAATGCCTTACACTAAGCCACAAACAAAGCAGTTTGGTTTTGTATGTTGTGTGAACCTAGTCAAATTCAAAAGTGGGGAGATGAAGAAGAAATCAGTTATCCACCAAGGATAGAAAACCTCAAAGTTTCCTTCCAAACTTATGATTCTATGGTAATGATCCGAAAATCAGGAGAGCTTGGAATTATAGCCACTTTCCCTTAAGGTAATAAACACTGGTCTGCACTTATTCCAAGAATCAAGACAAACTTACTGTGGATTATTTATTTATTTATTTATTGAATTGTTGAATTATATTGCCACCTATTCACCCATGGCAACTCAAGGCAGCTTAGAGAATATATTGCCATAATATATTACAGTATTTATACTTACAGAAATTATACTGTGCATGTGGCTTATAAGTGTGATTTAAAAGTTGAGATCATTTGAATGTGTTACAAAACAGTTGCACTAAGCAGCTGAGATCCAACTGGTGGTGTCATTTCATTGTTTACTTTATTGTTTGGAATTATTCGTATGACAATGTTAGTATTACCTAACATTGCCTATTTATATTTGGCATCTTCCTTGTTTTTGTTACTTTACTGAAAGATTATCAATATAAAAAAACTAACTGAAGATGACCTCTGTGGCAGAGGTCATCTAGAACTCTAGCAGTAAAAGAACAAAGGATAAAAATATATCTATAAATATAATCCATATAGAGTATAGAAATGGTAAGTATTTGACTGCTTTTTCAGGTAAAATGAATATTTAAAAAATTCAAAACAAAGAATTTCTCAAAATTCATTTTAAGATAGAATTATAGTAAAATTCAATTAATGAATCTATTTATGTCTTCAATTATAGTACCTTAATAGTGACTTGATTTTCTCCATCAATAGTTAGTGGTTGTTAATCCACAATTTATTGGCATCGGTTAGAAGAAAATCTTAATTTAAGTTTGATGTCAGCGGTAAGATGTTCTTTGCTATAGAAATCACAACCAAAGTATTCATTTCATTATATTTCTCATAGAATTTAGTTGAAGTGTGTAATTATTTAAAATTTCTCCTATTGATAATTGTTAATAGTCCATAAATAAAGCTTTTAAATGGTTCTTTCAGAATTTTCATGAACATTAAATGTGTTTTGTAAGTAATTTCAGATTTACCTCTCATAAAAAGCGAGTAACCCACAAATGTTAACAAAATGAAATTAAAACCACAAAACCTGGCTTTAAACTTCAAATATTTTGACTCGTGGAGGATGTAATTCTTCATTTCAAAGTTCTTTCAAAATGTTTCTTTTAGATAGCCATCACAACTCCCAGTGTAAAAATAAATCATCATGTCATCATAATACTTTGCCCAAAGCAGTACATATTATGGAATGTAAGAGATGAGATTTTATATAATTCATAAAATACATTTTTGAAGAGTGGTATTCAAAAGAGGGTACAGGTATCACAGTGTTTCTCTGCAAATACTAGAGTACAATCATACATAGCCTAGGACTCTGCTGTTGCTTCAGTCCAAACATTGTTCAGTCCAACACTTATTTTCCAAGTTATTAGTGTTTACAATAATAAATTCATCAATTAGCCTAAAATGGTTTTAGCTGTTCTTGTTGGAAGTAGTTTACTAAAGGCAAGTAGTTTACTAATGGAATTTTTATAATCATATACAAAAAAAACCCAGAATTGCCAGTGTTTACTATATTAATGTTTTCCTCTACTTGCAGTGCAAATTGTCTCTAAAATTGGAACCTTACAAAACATACAGCAGGTTTAGTGACTTAAATAGAAATGCTTCAGTCACACTCTTATGTACACCTTATCATAGTTTACATCAATTTAATATGTAATTTGTGGTGTTGTAGATGTTGGTTACCTCAGAAGTATGGTCACTGATGATATGATGATAATGGAAATACAATATTTGCTTAACTCTGCCTTTGTGCAGTGTATGCACAGTCAATATTATATATTTTCCATTTATTTCCCTCTGTACCATCTAGTAACCCAGCCAACAGACTTTCATACCGTATGCTGCAAATATGTTGGGATCTTTCTGGAAGGGAGGAATGAGTTTTGGCTTAGAAGAAGATAAATCATGTGATGTAGGGCTACCATATCAGGTTTACAAAAATCCAGGGAATCTCAAAGTGGCAGCAAAGAGACTCAGAACTCCACCTCCACCACCATCACCATATAATGGACAGATTTTAGCAATACATATATGGCAGTTAGCCATACATATATGGTAGCATATATCTGCAGTGGACAGATGTTAGCAATACATACGTGATGTTAATCCTGCAAGGAAATGTTCACATGACTCCATTTTGGCAAAGTGAAGTCTTCATCCCAGACTTTTAGAGTATAAAAGTTCTTCAAACACTTTAATTTGTTACATATTTTGAATAACATACAATACAATAATTATTTCTGATCCTTGAAGTGGAAATTGACCAGATGTGGTATTCAGCCAGTTCGGACCGGTTTGCCGAACCGATTGCAGAAATCACAGGTGGGTCCGCCCACCCGCCCCGGCTCTATGCCGTCCTATATAGGCATGTTTTTGAGGCCGGACACATGCGCAGAAGGCTCATGCATGAGAAAAGTGCATGTGCGGAAGGGGCGCATGCAACAACAGTGAATCGGTGATAAAAAAACTGAGAAGCGACCGTGCGTGCAGAGAACTGGTGGTAACGATGTGAAACCCACAGCTGCAATTGATGTTAAAGTTATATCAGTTGGATGAAGCTATTTTCCGCATATTCTATTGGCAACAAATGGCTGATACCGGAGAAGAGAATGAGCCTCAAATAAGGTCTCAAGCAGACTTTCACAACCTGATGCCCTCCAAATATGCTGGGGTACAATTCTAGCATTCCCAAGCAGTCAAGACACTAGAGCACGGGTGTCAAACTCACGGCGTCACATTGCCATCATGTGACATATTGCAATGTTTTTCCCCTTCACGGAACTGGGGTGAGCATGGCCTGTGTGTGACACATCCGGCCCGCAGGCCATAGTTTGACACCCCTGTTCTAGAGGAACAAGTCAATATTTGCATATCTCTGCAGAACATCTTGATGGAAGTTGATTGCTCATGACAGTGTTGCCAAACCTGTAGTACACTACTTAGGAAGTGTTTCTCTTGCTTTTATTTATTTCATTTTATTTTTCATCTGACAGGCTTCTTAGGAGTGTTGTAAGGAGTCTAGTCAGTTGGTGAGCTCTCTAATCTAAACCAGCTGCTCCTAGATTGAGGCCTCCCATTTGCATTGTTTTAACATACTTAGAAAATGAAGTATTCATTTTTAACATTCCTCCTCCAATTGGTTTAATGCTGAATTACAGAAGAGAACTAAGCAAAACCAGGTGCTTTTGCTGTATTCACTCCAGTGTCTGAGGAGGAGCAGACCTCTCTTGATTCCCTTTCCTCTCCTCCCCTCCCTCCTCCTTCCTTCCCCTTCTTCCCCTCATTCTTTCTGTCTCTCTTTCTCTCTCTCCCCGTTTCTCTATGATTTGGCCTCTCATTCTCTGGAAATTAAATGATGGTAGGTCTGAAGTTCTAGCAAAAGATTTAATGTACAAAAGTATTTTTAGATATTCAGCTGTACGGGCATTATTGTTTTACCTCCTTGGCTTTATTCATCAGTTTTGGACATGACAGCATTTAAAAGGTATGTTCTTTGCATTACGTTACTATTTTGTTTCTTTTTTTGATAGTCTGCTGAGTGCAATTCTGAGTCAGCTACTTAAGTTATACATCCCATTATATTTTCAAGAGATTGTGCGGGAGAGAGGAGAAATAATTTTATTCCTTTAGTATTATGTAGGTCTAACATCTGACAATATGCCTCTTTGTACTAAATTCAGTTGTTTATCACTGGAGCTATTTACAGAGTCTATGAAAAGTTTTTGTGCAAGAAGTGCATCAACATTTATTGTAGACCAAAATCAGTTTACAGCAGCGGGCTGTGCTTTTAAAAAATATTTTCCACTAATATGCTGCTGACTGACTCAATTTCTCCTGAGGGAACTATACAGACATATCATATGCTGTGGCTATTATTTTTCCCCGTAAAGATAACTATCTTGAAGAAGCAGTTCCAGATTGAACTCTTATAGGAGGACATTTCTCTTATTTTTCAAAGCAGGAAAAAACAAATTGCTGGAAACAAGAGGAAGTAACTGAAATTATAAAGAAAGATTGGATTGGTTTTTACATTGCTATTTACTGTTTCAATAGCTGTGCTCAGTGTTCTTTATGGGGTTTCATAAAGGAAAGATCACGGCAGTAAAAAAGTACAGTTAGATTTTTAATAGAAGACATGACCGAGAAAGGGATACAACAATAAAAGGGAAAATACCTTGCACCTTCATGCTATTTAAAAATTATTTAATGACTGGATATTATAGGAAAGATTCAGGATTCAGCAGAATTTTTCCTGCTCTAGCAGAGTAATTATTTACCTTCATATGTTCCAGTCATGCAAAGTTCTTATGAGATATGACTCTAATCTGTATATGTATATCTAATCTAGATATGAATTTGCTTGTCAGGGTGCCTAAATTGGTTGCAATGAATTGCGGCACTGGCTGAATTGGACACTGGTTGGTTGAATTGGACATTGGCTGTCACTTATGGCCAGTGTTTTGTCTTTCTTTCTTTTTGTCCTGTGAAGTGATTCTTCCATGAATAGAACAGAATAATAAAGTTGGAAGGGACTTTAGAGGTCTTCTAGTCCAATCCCCTGCACAAGCAGGAGACACTCTACCATTTCAGACAATGGTTAAGATGTTTATCTCATCTTAAAAGCTTCCAGTGATGGAATACCCACAAGCCACTCCACTGGTCAATTATTCTCACTGTAAGAAAATTTATCCTTAGTTATAGGTTGCTTCTCTCCTTGGTTAGTTTCCATCCATTGCTTCTTGACTTGCCTTCTAGTGGTTTGGTTTCTATTCTTCTTTGTGGTAGCCTCTCAAATATTGGAACACTACTATCATGTCACCCCTCATCAGGGGTGAGTTCCAGCAGGCTTTACTGCCGGTTCGCTCGTGCGCACACTGTGTATGCATGCACAGTTCAATTAAATTTGTTCTGCACATGCGCAGAACTTAAAAACAAGATGGTATGATTAATGGCGTCAATCAGAGAACTGGTTCAAGGACGTCACAGGCCTGGGTTGCTGCCAGTTCCAGCAACTCACGCTGCCATACCACTACCGGTTCAGCTGAATGGGTCTGAACCGGTAAGAACCCACTTCTGCCCCTTGTCCTTCTTTTCACTAGACTATACATATCTAATTCCTGCAACTGTTCTTCATATATTCTAACCTTCAACCCCAACGAATCATCTTTGTTGCTCTTTTTTGCACCCTTTCAAGAATATATCTTTTTTATAATAGGGTGAGCAAAACTGGATGCAGTATTCTAAGTGTGGTCTTACTAAGACCACAATCTTACAATCTTCCTTGGAATACCATCTTCCTTTGGGATATGCATTTTGCCTTTGGACTTGCACCATTTCTCTGGAAAGATTTCAAAAGAAAGGAAATGATGGATGATACAGAAAGTTTACCCAGATGGGTACCTCTGGTTATGTTGGAACTCCCAGCATCCTCACCCATTTTTCCTGCTCAGATTCTGCTGTCCTCAGTCCTCATCCATATCAATGGCTGTCTTCCTGTTGAGTGATGAACCATGGGGTTTTCCTAGGTGAAAAAAATACAATGAGAGGACCACTCGAAACTGAGGGGGGGGGGGAACAGTTATAAAGGAATGGATGAAAATTCATCTGAATTGCAGCCACTTTTGTCCAACAATCTTCTTCAATGTGCTGCCTCTAGAATACTCAGACTGTAACTCCAAGAATTCCTGACCAACAGGATACCTGAGGTTTATAGTCCTAATCTCTCTAGGGGGAACTGCTACTGGAGGCTGTTCTGTTGGAGATCCAGGTTCCTCAGCTATGGGATCATACATTTTGTCTCTGAGCTGTTACTCTCCTGGCTATTTGAGACTTGATTTCAGGCTCTTTTATGTATAACATTTAAATATAATTTGAAATTACCATAAATTCAAAAATGGAAAAATAAAAGAGACCGATACAGAGTCAGTGTTCTTGGCAATTTCAGCCTCTATTATTCTGCTGTTTGTTTGTTTGCTTGCTTGTTTATAGTGTCTGTGCTGATTCTTGGCATCTGCCTGGATTACCCCTGCAGTTTACTTGGCAAAAGTTTTTCAGAATTGGTTTGCTTAAGGTTGAGTGTCAGGCTTGTCCCAGCTAGGGCATTTAGGCAAAAATGACTCCATTTATAGCAAAGGTACATTTAAATAAAGCCAAATGGTTACAACATAAGCAAAGCTGGATCTCAATATTCCCATTCAAAACCTGCCTTTTCCCTATTTCCTGTGCCCCCCCCCCTTAAACAATTCACGAGTGTCCAATGTTATTCAAATTTGGTGTTTTGGTAACAGCTTTAAGGTTTGATGTCTCTTAGGTGTAGTTTCGCATCCTATTCTCATGCTCATGTCTTTAGATACGCTGGCCTGTTCTGGATTGGCACCTCTGGTTCCTGTCATCCTGTTGTCCCTCCCCCTACAATCTCTTTCTCACCATTCCCACATTTTATGGAAGTATGCCAGCAAAGCGAAGCAGGCTGGAGCGTTTTGCATGGCAGACCTGACACTAAGAGAGATTGAGTAGCCCAAGGTCACCCAGCTGATTTTGTGACTAAGCCAGAATTCAAATTCACGGTCTCCCAATTTCTAGCCTGATGTCTTAATTACTATATCAAACTGATTCAGTTCTGCCATGTCAACTATAAATTATTGCAGGTATTGTTATATATTATCAGAATGCAGTACTGAGTTGTTTCATGGTTGGAAATCTGTGGCCTTCCAATTTTTTGTTTTGTTTTTGTTTTTTAGATTTTTTTATCCTGTCTTTATTGTTTTTATAAATAACTCAAGGCAGAGGACATACTTAATACTCCTTCCTCCTCTAATTTTCTCCAAAACAATTCCATGAGGTAAATTGGGCTGATAGAGAATGGATGGCACAAAGTCACCAATCACAATCTCCTGTTTTCTAGCCTGGTGCTTTGATCATCAGATTAAATGAACTCTCTTGTTTTTTTGTTTGTTTCAAGTTTGATGCATTGTCTATGCATTGTTTGTTGTATTAGCAATGTCCATTTTGCTGTCTGGGAACTCGTGTTTCAGCCATATTAAATGATATGTATTCCCACTCTTGTTTTAAACACACTTTTTTCTCATGTAATTTTGGAAGCTGTGCTATTGTGTTTAAAAACAGCTGGTTTCTCTATACTCCAAATTGCTTTGGCAAATATACATATAATAACTTTGTTATACCTCTTGCAGGTTAATGCCCATTTTCATGGCTCTTGGTTGCCTCATTGGTCATGGAACGACACAGGTGAGAAATGGACTGTATGCGAAAGAAAGAAAAGGGTTACATGGGCTGGCATAGGGGAAAGAGAATAATAACACAATATTAAATTTATTATAAACTTTATCAAATATAAAAAATGTGGCTGTATCATCTCATCTTGCTAGCTTTTGTTCAATTAGCGATTAGGTTTTTTCATGTCTATTGCTACCAAGGGAAAAAGAAAATATGATATTCCCTCTGATTTATAATTTTGCATTCTTCCAATGATTCATTGTCTGATCCTCTTTTCTTTTCTGTTTAGCAACAATGCTCAAATGGGTTTGAGATGGATCGTTCGTCAGGCCAATGCTTAGGTAAGATTTTGATTATACCAGTTCCTCTGAGCTAATAGTGTACCACATGTTATAAGCAATGTGTGCTGGAAACTTTGGGTTATGTTTATTTGAATTAAAAAGTATGATTTATTAATTACATCTTCAAATCAATAAGACTAGATTCAACTAATTTAATTGGGTCTAACCATAAAAGGGAAGAATCAATGTCTTAATTGCTAAATTTGAAATATAACATCCAGTATGTATAGCTACAAAAAGACTAATTCTGAAGTTCTGCTTTATAATCAAGAAAATAAAACAAGAGCAAAAAATAAATAGAACTACTGCTATTGAAAATCTGAAAATATTAAATAGAAATATAGAACTAAGACATTACAGAGCTTATGGAGGAAAAATTATTTATTTGTTTATTAAACAGATTTTTGTAGCTGCCCAACTCACACACAATTATTCTTGGTGACATACAACATTAGTTAAAAATTTACACCCACAATGACAACGACACAATTGGGCAAACTCTTTATTAAACAGAGCAATATATAGAGAAATGTATTTAGATTTAGTCCATTGATTCTGATGCAAATCTAATAATCAACAAAATGACAGCTTCCTTCCTTCATCACATCAGTCCCATTTGTAAATAGTGGAATAATTCAAGGAATGCCAATATGACATGTGTCTCTAAATACTATCTAGCATGCACTGCTAACTTAATATCCTCCAGATGTATGGCCTGCATATCTCATTCTCATTTGCCAGCCAGGCACAACAAATGTCCATCCTGTTTACAAGTGATGGCAGTTGTCATCCATGACACTGGGCAGGAATTAAGTTCGGAAAGTTTGTCAGCAGTTTAGAAAAGTTAATTTTCTGAAACTAAAAACCTGAAACTCAAGGACCACAGGACCTTTAGGTACAGTACAGCCACGAGAAGACCTCTAAACAGCATGGCCAAATCATAATCATTTTACAACAGAAAAGGAAAACTAGGAAATAATTGTTTTAAAATATTTAATTAATTAAAAGCATTGGTGATATAATTAAAATGTCAATTATATTAAATCCAACACATTTTTTTTCCTGGCTCCATCCACTTCTTTGATCTGTCTCACTGTTTTTTGGAGGACGACCATTCAGAGTCAATATTTGTCTTCTGGGTCACTTTGGCCCTGCCTGGACAATGCAAGAGACTTGGTGGTCTCATCTCCTAATCATCCAACCATTTCAGTTTGTGAGTGTACTCTTTCTGCACAAGGGAGTTTTGAGAAATTGCAGCGTCCTCTTTCTTTCGTTATTGTTGTTCTAGGCATCTTTATTTGCCATTAAATATAAATCAAACATAAACACAAATTTATAAAGCATTATTCAACTCTAATTGCAGCTAATCTCATTCAAGGATCATGCTGAATAAGCTGTTTTCTAGGTCTCTGCAGCAATTACCCAGAATCTGCTTTTCTAAGAGTTATGTTATAAATCATATCCTAAAGGGACAGAATGCACATCTCCTGCTGTGGAAAAGAGGTCATGATTTCCAAATGCTAATGATGTTGCATGTTATATCCCAGGCTTTGCATTCTTTCTCTCAAAGGGGACACACACATGCATGCATTTTCAAATAACAACATTGGTTTATTATTCTAAATGGGAATAGCCTTTGTTCTCCAAAATGGCTGTTGCTCTCTGATCTTATTCTTTGGTTTGTTCATGCTTTTCTGAGGTCAGTTTACAGTTTAGTACTCCATGAAAGTGCCTAAAATGTTGCTGAGAGCTAACAGAAGAATAGAATAACGGAGTTGGAAGGACCTTGAAGGTCTTCTAGTCCAACCCCCTGCTTAGGCAGGAAACCCTACACCACTTCAGACAAATGGATATCCAACATCTTCTTAAAAACTTCCAGTGTGGGATCATTCACAACTTCTGGAGGCAAGTTGTTGTTTCACTGATTAATTATTCTGTCAGGAAATTTCTCCTTAGTTCTAAGTTGCTTCCCTCCTTGATTAGTTTCCACCCATTGCTTCTTGAACTGCCTTCAGGTACTTTGGAGAATAGTTTGACTCCATATTTAATGATTTAAGATCATTTAAGATCTTAAATGAATCTTCACAATCCAACATTTTGCAGTTTACACAAAAAAGAATATAAGACATGAAATTCTACATCAAAAGCCAGATTTTACAACCATCAAATCACTTCTTTGCTGCCGTCAGAAAAAAAGCCAACTTAAAATGTGTGTGCCAATGCTATGACTTGAACAGGAAAAGGCTGTCATTTTTATAATTAGAAATAAAAAACTACATTAGATGAAGAACAGGAAATCAGACCATTTCTACTTTTACTGGAAACAAAGGGCAAGGTAAGATGGATTTTTACTCAGCTGATACCAAAATAAGGTCAAATTAGTCTATGCCTTAATATATGGGGTGATCAGAGACAACTATGGGTATTCACCAAATCATGGTTTTGCAAATGTCTTAATTCACAAATCACATGTGCCAAAATGAAACAATCCACTTTATGAAAGGTAAATCAGTCTAGGGCTGGACACAGTGATGTGCGGTGAGGTTTATGGCTGGTGAGGTAAAAAGAAAGAAAGCAGCTTTTGGCTGCCCTGCCGCCATGTCTGACATAGAGGCGGGATGCCTCTATGTCAGACATAACGGCAGGGTGGCTTTTGCCTGCTTTCAAGAAAGCTTTCTTGAAAGCAGCTTTTGCCCGCTTTCTTGAAAGCAGGCAAAAGGCGCCCTGCTGCTATGTCCGACATAGAGGCGTCCTGCCCCGGCGCTATGTCTGACATTTAAGAAAGTCTGGTCTAAGAGAAGAAGTAATTTCCTTGGCTCCACTTCTGAATTATTATCAGTCTATGGACAAAGTTTAAATTTGACAAAATTGGACATCTGAAATTCCAAAATAGTCGGGAGTAATAGAGAGGTAGCCTACAATACCCTCCTGATCTATGGGGGTGTCTTACCCCTCATGGGGAATCTGCTGATTGGGCTAGCCTCAGGTAGCAGAGGAATGTTCCTGACTCGCGTAGGTTGCGTGGCTCCCTTAAATTCAGCTGCTGGACTTTTGGAGCAGCGAAACCTCCAGAGCCTCATAGCAAGGCCCTATGGCCATTTTGAAACCTCTAACAGCAAGGTCTCATTGTGGCGGCCATTTTAAGTGCCACCATGTGGAGAATGCTGTGATTGGCTTAGAGATAAGCAGCAGTGGCAAGAGGCAAAGGAAAAAAAACGTCGGAAGGCTCCCAATGCCAGAAACGTCTTTGGAGCTATTCTAAGGGCTGTGAGTGCAAAACCTGGCATATCCATGGCCAACAATAGCCCCATTAGGCAGCCAGGCATTTCCAGGGCTCAAAGCCACTGAAGTAAATTGAAAATGAAAAGCAGTATAAGTAAATACATTATTTAATTAATTAGCTGACTGCAACAACAAGCGATTAATCAGACACAAACTATCAATCAGCAGAGACCCAAATTAATATTTACATTTCTATATTATTTCAGATGTTGATGAATGTCGCACTATTGCTGAGGCCTGTAGAGGAGATATGGTGTGTGTCAACCAAAACGGGGGCTATTTATGCATTCCACGAACAAATTCCAACCAGCGATCCCCATATACAAATCCTTACGGACCCAGTTTGTACCCACCACCTCCAGTTCCAGCTTCTGTTCCAAATTATCCTTCTGTTGGAAGAGCACCTGCCATTTGTCGGTTTGGGTATCGTATGAATGAAAACAACCAGTGTGTAGGTAAATAGCAAGATCTAACATTTATGCCTGTCATGTGTCGTTTTTTAGCTGATTGTCATGATGGCAAACCTATGGCACGCATACCATAGGTCACATGCAGAGCCCTCTCTGTGGGCACACAAGCTGTCACTCCAGCTCAGCTCCATCACGCATGCACATCTGCCTCCCGCTAGCCAGTTGTTTTTTGGGTCTCTGGTGCGCATGTGAATGCCTGGTGTGTGTGTGTGCAGTGTGTACCCCCCCGTGCCCCCTTTTGTTCCCAGGAGGCTTCAGGAAGGCCTACTAGGCCCAAAATGGAGCACCGGGGGGGGGTGTTGTCACACACGCATGTGCATGGGGGCAGGACACATGGGGGATGTCATAAGGGCATTGTATTATGGGTGCGGGCACGCTTTCTGCATTCGATAACAAAAAGGTTAGCCATCACTGGCCTAATACAATTTGCTATCTGAACTGTGCGTGAGAGAGGAGGGAGACTGACAGATAGAGGGAAAGAGAGAGTACAGGTAGTCCTCGACTTACAACCATTCATTTAGTGACCATTTGAAGTTACAACAGCACTGAAAAAAGTGACTTATGACTGTTTTTCACACATACGACGATTGCAGCATCCCCAGAGTCACGTGATCAAAATTCAAATGCTTGGCATCTGTCTCACATTTATGATGGTTGCAGTGTCCCAGGGTCACGTGATTACCTTTTTTAACCTCTTGCAAGCAAATTCAATGGGAAAGCCAGATTCATTGAACAACCATATTACTAACTTAACAACTGCAGTGATTCATTTAACAATTATGGCAAGAAAGGTCGTAAACTGGGGCAAAACTCACTTAACAAATATCTTACTTAGCAATGTAAATTTTGGGCTCAATTGTAGTCATTAGACAAGTTTTTAGCTATGCATTGGTCCAAGTTTTCATGACTGAGGAGAAAGACACTGGCAAAAAGCCTACACAGGATTTTCCTGCTTTATTGTGCCTTGTTTATCTTTCAATAGGTAAATGGCTTCTGTACCACATTTGAATTGGACTCTTTTGGACTCTTACGTTACACGTGAGGCATGTAGGTTCATGCTGATGGTTCTGACTGCCAGCTTTTTGAACCGTCTAATGGGGGATAAACAGTGGTGAAATTCAATTTTTTTTTTTACTATTGGTTCTGTGGGCGTGACTTGGTGGACATGGCAGGGGAAGGATATTGCAAAATCTCCATTCCCTCCACACCCTGGGGCCAACCAGAGGTGGCATTTGCCAGTTCTCCGAACTACTGAAAATTTCCGTGACCGGTTCTTCAGAACCTGTCAGAACCTGCTGAATTTCATCCCTGGGGATAAATAGTGAATACACTTCATGTGCCACCTGCCTTCATGATGAGCTGTGGTGGCGCAGTGGTTAGAGTGCAGTACTGCAGGCTACTTCTGCTGATCGCCGGCTGCCAGGAGTTTGGGAGTTCAAATCTCACCAGGCTCAAGGTTGACTCAGCCTTCCTTCCTTCCGAGGTGAGTAAAATGAGGACCCAGATTGTTGGGGGCAATATGATGAATCTGTAAACTGCTTAGAGAGGGCTATAAAGCACTGCTATTGCATTGCTATTGCTATCAGGAAATACATGATTCTGAGTACAGCTATGCTGTTTTCTTTCAAACATCTTGGTGATTTGTTGCTTTAACAGCTATTTATTTGGGCAATTGCCCCTTCCTTGCATTTTTTTAGTATACAGGTAGCCCTCATTTAGCAACCACAATTGTCACTGGCAACTTGGTCATTAAGCAATATGGTCACTAACTGAAACCACAAGTGCACTTATGGTTTTCATTTAACTTTTCTTTTCGGTTTGTAGACCTGCAAAGATTATAAATGCAAAGATTGCTCATGAAATTGCACTTTCATCTCCTTTGTAAGTGCAAATGGACACTAAACGAGGCATTCACTAAATGAAGACTGCCTGTAATATGCTTCATAGTTGCGGTACAATCTGTTTTGTTTGGGAGACATTAGTCAGGGATCCTTGAATGCACATTCCTTAACCAGGCAGTTTCAACTTAAAGAGTGTTCCATCCATTTTGTAAAACTGACTAAAAGAAATGAAGATTACGTATGTTGATATATTTGGATTATGAAAGTAGGCAACTCCAAGAAAAAGATGGATAGGAGAGAGCACTTTGTTCTGTTCCTCAAAGGATGTGTGGTCAGGAAAGAATCCCCCCCCCCCGTCTAACACATGAAAGAATGAACATGTAGATATTGTTTATTGAATTCAATTTAAATAATACCCCCTCCCCCAACATCCATAGTAGATTCTGCACCCTGCAAGGTGACTGCTGATCATGATGCCTCATTCTGAGGGAAGACTCTTGTTTTTGGTCCTATGAATTGTCTTGATTATTGAACAGATACAGTAGCAGCTGCTGAGGAGTGTCATTAATGGTTCCTTCCTGGCATTATCATGGGTTATCTTACAATGCACGTTTATCCAATTAGTAACTGGAAGTCTTTCAGCTAAAATTAATTCATGATAAAATTATGCTTTTGAAAGTTATTTTGGAATAAGCTATTTGTTGTAAGAGAGGATTGAGGAGGAGGAGGACTAAGGGAATATGCTGATAGTGAAACCTTGGCTGGATAACTTTTTGGAGGTCGTTATTCTGTCCCATGCCAGATGACGCCGATAATGCTGGTTGCATTTCTTGTTCTTTCTTTATAATTAGACTAATACAGATTGGTTTATTCTGAATGTTCAGATTGACTACGCAGTACACCAAATTAATGCTTATTTGCTTTCTTTACATTGATTACCAATTGACTTGGTAATAGGTACCTCAAACAACTGTAAAGCCTTTAATTGCATCTGCACTGGATAAACGTGCTGTGGTTATGTTTACTTATTATGCGTGAGCCTCTGTGAAACTATATTTTAATGGTGTGATTTTGATTTATTGCTCATTGTTAATTCATTATCACTTAAAGATATACCTAGGAAAGAGATATGCTTACATCATAGTAGCATAGAAGCATCTTTTCCAGAGTTGTTACACAGCATTATACCTTTGACATCCCTTATTGTTTGAGGGTTACTGTCAGAGGTGGGTTTCTGCCAGTTCTAACCTCTTTTATAGAAGAGGTTCCACAAATCTATAGTGTGATTTAGAACCGGTTCCAGCTCCCTTCCCCCGCCCGCCCACACATCATCAAGATGAAGAGCGAGAGGAGGAATTCTGGGAGTTGAAGTCCACAAGTCTTAAAGCTGTCAAGTTTGAACACCCCTGGTTTTTTTTTCTAAAGAGTTAGGAGTGCAAGAGTCTTGTAACTTGACAGCTTTAAGACTTGCATGCTTCAAATGCCAGAGTTTCTGAGCCAACATTTTGGTTGCTAAGCAAGAGCATTGTTAAGTGAGTTTCACCACATTTTACAAGTTGGCCATGCCCACCCAGTGACATTGCTGGCAAGCCACTCCCACCCAATCACATGGCCGGCAACCCACTCTCACTCAGTCACATGGCCAGCAAGCCACTCCCACAAAGCAGGTCACACCTACAGAAGAGGTTCTAAAAAAATTTGAAACCAAATATCATCTCTGGCTAATTCAAAAAAGTTGCTGGGAATTCAGCATGGACATTATGCCTCACAAAAAGTAATTAATTAGTCATTATAACTTCTTGGTTCTGGAGATGTTAGTTTGCAGAATTGTGGTTTACAGAGAATAGTAGAAGGGTGATGCAAAATTAGTCCCAGAATACTCAATATCAAAGAATCACTGAAGTGAAAAGAACAAAGTATGGCCCACTAATCTAAGAGATGAGAGAAAGATCAAAGGTAATGTTCCCTTTTTCATGGAGGTAAGATTTGATCTCTGGCAGCCCCCAGACATGAATTAATTGGACCACAGTAAACTGGAAAGATGACAGCTGCATTGAAAAATTTCAGCTGTATGAAAAAAAAATGCAAATTTCAATCTGGCAACTAAAAAAAAAAGGTTACACATCCTACACAGCCTAAATATAATGTTCCTAAAATACAGCAACCTGAATGCAGGCTGTTTGGCTAGATTCCTTCTCTTTTACACCATTGCAGGTGACTGCCTTTCCCTGTAAAATAAGTTTGGCGTATTAAATCAGGGGAGCCCAATCCCCAGTCCGTAGACTGGCACCAGTCCGCAGCATGCCAGCAACCGAGCCACACAAACAAGCCAAGCCACATCCAAGGTATGCAGGCAGGCTGCAAAACCACGCCCGCTCTGGGCCATGGAAAAAACTTTCTCCATGGAACTAGTCCCTGGTGCTCAAAAGGTTGGGAGCCTTTGCATTAATGCATCAGTGATGGATTCACTATTTTTACTACCAGTTCTGTGGGCTTGGCTTGGTGGGTGTGGTGTGGATTGGTGGGCATGGCTTGGTGGGCGTGGCTGAGGAATGATACTGCAAAATCCCTATTCCCTCACCACTCCTGGGGGGAGGATACTGCAATATCTCCATTTCCATCCCACTCCTGGGGGAAGGATACTGTAAAATCTCCATTCCCTCCCTACTCCATTAATCTGCTTTCCAGCTCTGTTCTGTGCAGGGCAAAAAAAAAGAAAACCCAGCCGATCAGCTGCGACTCCGATCAACTGGGACTCGGGAAGCAACAAATAGATGGAGGTGGGGCTAGTCAGAGGTGGTATTCGACGGTTCTCCAAACTACTCAAAATTTCTGCTACCGATTCACCAGAACAAGTCAGAACCGGCTGAATACCACCTCTGCTATGCATGTCATGACAGGTACCATGTCTTCTTGCATAAAGATTGATGGAAAACAATCAAGCTGACCAAGTACCTGGTAATCCTTCCCTAATTATTGTCCTTGCTTCTTTGGAACAACCCTAAATTTTCAAAATTTAGTGTGGCTAAGCTAAAATGTGCACACATAAAGGATTTCCCTCTCTTTTAGTTCTAAGTCCATCCTCCTACATATCTCCCTCCTCTCTCTAGGTCTCCTTAGAAATGTTTCCAATTTTACATTGGG